TCTTTCCCTTAGCTCTTTTGTAGAGTTTCTTCTTTAAGTTCGGTTTGCTCTCTCTTGAGAGAGAAAATTTAGATGAGGTTATAAAACTGTCAGTGCCTGGACAATAAAAAGAAAACAATTAGGCCTGTCTAATCCTTTAGTGTGTGCATGCACTATGTTGTTATATGGTGGATAGTGTATAGATGTGGCTCATGTAAGCTAGTGATTTTTAAAAATTCCCTAGCTTCTAAAATCTGACTTCCACATTTATAACTGTCATTAGCAGTCCTGGGCTATTTCCAGTCCCTCATATATGGCAAGGACCAATTGCTTGTACAGAGGAGCCAGTGACCTGGATTTGGAAAAGTTGTTCTTCAACCCAAGGATTTTTGGCTGGTGGTTTCTTTTCAGGAGAGTGGTCTGCATCAGGGAGCAAAGCTGTCTGCAGCGAGGGGCAGGGACTGTACTGGGGCTAGGGGCCTGAGGGTAGAGCACTGTGAGAAATGTGGGGATTAGGCCCAGCTCCAGAGGATTTTTTCTGGGAGTTTAGGGCAGCTCTGCCCCCCTTCTGTCTCTGCTTTCTCATCCAAAATCAAATGGAGATTGTCTTTATCTCAGTTGGGGAGTTGCTGTGAAGCTTTATTCAAGACTCTTGAGATGCTCTGAGGAAATGCAGTGATTACTTTATTGTTGTTTATTTTATGTGCAAACACTTGTCTTTTGGCTCTGCTGACTGCCAGTCATTAGTGGGGGCTCTTCCCACCCTCTGGAGAAGGGCTAGGCCAGCCAAGGGCCAGGCCAGCGTCAGAAACAGAGCCAGGCCAGCTGGATATCAGGCAAGGAAAGTAGGTTAGTAAGACTGCCGAGCAAAGAAGTTACGGATTTGTCCATAATTGGACATATCTATAACATGTCCGTTATGGTTATGATCTGTCTGTAGTTGACAGATCTGTATTTGGTGTGGTGAGTGGAGAAGTCATGGCCAGGTGGTAAAGGCAGTGAAAGAGGCTTATTTCCAGGGATGTTTCCACATCCTTGACCTTCCTTCGGTGCAGATTTGAATGTAAAATCCTTCCAGGTTTGCATGCTACGCAACTTATTTTCTTTGTCTCTTTTTCAGAACTGGTCAGGAATGAAGTGCCAATTCAAATTGCTGCGCATGGCGGTTGCCTTGATTTGTAGTAAGTATCACACAATATTTGGCACATACACGATGCTGTTTTATTTGTCCTTGTCACAAGAGTTCATGCTGATTCAGGGAGTTTCTACAGTTCTCAAACAAGCAATGCTTTCATAATGCTAATGCTTAGGTTTCCTAACACAGTTCTTACCTGGATGGCAACAGCGTTATGCAAACATTAATGAATTGTCTTCCAGGCATACCCCTAGGGTGTCACTGCAAGTGAAACTAGGCCATGTATGCACCACGGACAATTGTCTTCGAAGTCTAACTCTCACTTTTTATGGTTTTGGTATAAAATTTTGGAAAGGGAATATACTCCCACCTGTCTACACTCCCACAAGCCCAAGTTGCCACCAACCGTGTGGGAGGTGTAGACAATGCCTTTCTTTCTCCTTCTTTGTTCCAGTGAGCTTTGAATTTGGAAGAGCTGTGTGGCTGCGATTCCACCCCTCTGCCTACCCGCCATGCCCGCACCCCAGCTTCATGGCTCACCTGGGAGGAGTGGTGGTTGGAATCACCCTCGGTGTCATCATCCTGAGAAACTACGAGCAGAGACTCCAAGACCAGTCCTTATGGTGGATCTTCCTTTCTATTTATCTCATTTTCGTCTTGTTTGCCGTCTTCTGGAATATCTTTGCCTACAGCCTGTTAGATCTGAAGCTACCTCCCCCTCCCTGAAAGCACAGGACAAAAAACTCTAGAAGAGTGGAAGTCACCTGCCAGCTATGTTAAATGAATCAACAGGGAGGATCTATTTTTATATGAAACTTAGAGGAGGATGATTCTTTTGAACACAGGCATGTGCTAAAGGAGACGCTTAAAGGTCTCGCAAGGGAATGGGCTGATCAGTTTGGGCATGAATCTAGCAGGTACTGTAATACTGGCTAGCTTGAACTCTGCAGTTTTTCCACTGCAGGGGCCCCTATGGGATAGGGCATTTGTACCTGGGCATTTATTGCTTGGTTTGTTAGCCCACATCCATGTCTCGTATGGGCTGTTTGCATTTTCTATGTTGGTGCTGTACTTGTGGCTGGTTGTTGAATGAAACTCCTCAATGTTACTGAACTCTAGAATGGAAAAAGAGCAGACATTTACTAACTAGATACTCACATGATATTCACAAGGCAGCTTGGGTTTGGTTTCAATGGATACATCTGACTGTTCAGCCATACCAGTGCCACTGTCTAATTACTTGAATGGCTCCTTAAATATTTTAGCCTATGGCCAAAACTGTCTTTCAAAGTGATCAGCAGAACTTGATCACCCGAAGTGGTGGAGACTGGTCCTCAACAAGAGATCAAACAATATTGCACTAGAAATCTTGGGGACTCTTTAGAGTGGTGTGGACACCCAGCCAGAGGTGACTTTTACTCTGCATGTTTCACTTCAGTTTTCCCAGCCTGCTATGGGTAGATGGTGTGGCTGGTGTTTCATTTTCATGGGCAGGGCAAAAGAGGAGCAAAGGTTTATTTGTGTTTTTATCAGTTGACAATCGGGTGCCGTGTTCTTCTTCTTTGTTTTTGGCTGCGTTGCTCTAATGTCTGGCTTGCAGTGAGCTCCAAGCAAGGATCTCAACTCCTCCAGCAGGCTCTTGCTAGAAAAGTGGGACCAGGATCACCCACAGCAGTGCAGGGTGAGAACTACCCAGGCTTTCCAGCCATCCAGTCCACTCGGGGCCAGATTTGTCTCCTGAAGTCAGTGGAGTTCAAGCTGGGTGGTATGTAACACTGGTTTCCTACCAAAGTGGAAAGGGTGTTACTGCGATCACTGTGAAACTGATAAAACTGGTTTTACAGTGACTGCTAGAATGGCAAAGATCGTCAGCCTTTCTGAGGCAATAAAAGTTCAGGGGCTCCAAGCAACAGTTAGTTGCAATGATACCTTTTTGCTTAACGGAGATCGAGCCCAGAATTCAGGAATCTCTAACTGGTCTGTAGCACAGTCCGTACAGCGGTGAGCTGCCTGCACGGACCAGAGGACCAGGCTGGAACATCTGGAGCGGGAGCAGTGCTGTAGGTATGTGTCTCTGTCAGGTGTTTATGTTATTTTGCTTCTCACTTTAGAGAGTCACCAAACTGCAATCCAGGAATGTGGACACCCTGCCCTTCCCACTCAGTCTGGTGGGCTGGATGAAGCAGCCATAGGAGTCTCTCTAGACCAGCTCCTTTATCCTTTTTGTATTAACATGTTGGTGCCCTTGGCAATGCAGAAAGATGATGCGTGTTTCAGTGGGACCCTCCCGCTGAAAGAGGAACAAATCGATAGAAGCGGTGCACAAGCCTTGCTTGCCCACTGTGGAGAGATGGCTTTTCCAATCCCAGAGGAAGGGGAGGTGGTTCTCAGGTTGCATCAGACCCCTGACCAGAAAATACTTATTACTTTTTTGTGGAAATTTGTTTTTTAAATTTCCTGCAGTTCTTTTTTTTTTGGTCAATAAAGCGAGAAACAAAAAATTACATAAAAGGAATATGTAGGATGGTGGAGAGAAGGCTGCTTTCCATAAGAAGACCAGATCCCTTCTAAGGTGGCTGCCCTTTCACCAAATGCAGGCTGTAGAGTAGAGGTAACACAAGGCAGGTCCCAAGTCTCTGCCGGAGAGACACTGCTCAGGCAACAGCCACTAGAGCCTTCTCTAGCACATCTCCTGGCCACTGTAACAGTCAGGTTTGCTCTGTAGCAAAGTGTTCCTGTGTCATGGACTTTATTCTCTCAACTGTGTAATTGGTGCTGCCGGCTGATACCACAAACTAGTAGTTGTCTGTCCTTCTAGAAGAATGATGACTCACTAGTGGTCATCGGCTGTTCCCTTCTTTCCCTTTTCGGATAAAGCCCTCTGCAAGGGTGAGGTTCTGGCCCGATGGGACTTGCTAGTAAAACTCCTATTGCCTTTTGAGAAAGGGAAGGAGGAGAAGGAAAGGGTTTCTACAGTCTGGAATAAGCCTTACCTGCAAAAGAATCATTTTTTGCCTTTGTGCACAGGAACAGGAGCTCTGTGGGTAACTGCACCTTCGTTGTTTCCCATGGCTGGCATATTATTCATGGGTCCTCGGATCAAGGGACAAGAGGAAGGGATAAGGTTCAGAGCTCTAATTGTTTTAGAGGAGGGGACTGGTTCCTCGTGCCATTTTATCTCTGCGGTTTGGGTCTGGATTGGAGCAGTCACAAGAGTTTACATGCATTGTCTCAGGTCAGGAGCCGGCCAGTGAGTTTCGCAGTGGTGGAGACAACCTCTTTAGGGAGCAACAGGCAAGCAGGAGAGCAGGGAATTAGGAGAATATTGACAAAAACGTGGTTCATGCTGAAGGAGGACATCCCTTTCCTTACCTATTGCTAAGCCTTTCTGATTACAGATGCCTTTAAAGTAGAGGTGAGCAGGAAATGGAGCTTCCAGGAAGTTTTTAGGAAAACATTGAAATTTGTGGTGGAAAGAGTCAATCACAACAAAACCCGGGTTATCTTGCCTATAATTTATCAGAGTACAATATGTACAGATTGGCTTTTATTTTTGGTATCTCAGCCAAAAGCTGTTTAGAGCCCATCAGTTTCTCCCCAGGAAAGCTTTCTGTGCCTGCCAGTGATGTGCTCTGTTGCAAAGCAGTGAGCTAGAAGGCTCAAGGGCCATCGTCCCTCTTCATCAGCCTCTCCCTGACTCTGGCCAGGGTATCTATGCCTCTGCTCGGGGGCAGGAGGGAGCTGAACAGGGTATTTCAGGAGCCCTTCTCTGGTCCTTCACCCATAGTTGAACATAGTTCACAGGAACTGATTCAAAAGAGTTCTCGCTTTGAGCTGTGACTTACTCTCCTAAATTGTTGTTCATCGTTCTAACCTCCGTTCTGTGGCCCTGCCAGTGATGTGCTCTGTTGCAAAGCAGTGAGCTAGAAGGCTCAAGGGCCATCGTCCCTCTTCATCAGCCTCTCCCTGACTCTGGCCTCCCTGAGTCTATGCCTCTGCTCGGGGGCAGGAGGGAGCTGAACAGGGTATTTCAGGAGCCCTTCTCTGGTCCTTCACCCATAGTTGAACATAGTTCACAGGAACTGATTCAAAAGAGTTCTCGCTTTGAGCTGTGACTTACTCTCCTAAATTGTTGTTCATCGTTCTAACCTCCGTTCTGTGGCCCCATTCCCTGTCTGGAGGAGCAAGTCTACGAGCAACCCTGGGAATCAGAAAGACCAGGCTTTAAATCAGTACTAGATTTATTGTGGGTGAAGAAATGAAACCCTGTCACATTCCTGTTCATCAGAGCTGAAAACTCACCCCATACATAGAGCAGGTCGTACACCAAGCCTGTTGTCTGCTGAGAATCTATCAGCTCTTGGAGTAAGGAGCAATGCAGAATGCTTACTTTTATAATTAAATCACTAAAATTATACTGTGAAAAATTGTCATGTTATTACAGAGTTATCAGGGAATCCAGCTACGTTGTTTTCCCGTTCACCCAGCAGTGCCATAGTGCTGCAGCACCAGAGAGCTAATGGCAAACAGGCTTTTCTTTTACCTCCAGATGTCCTTGATGCTGCTGGCTTATTTCACAGCTTTCACGTTCTCCATCCTGCTCATTTGTGGTTGCAACTTGTCACAACGAGCAACGTTTCCCTGAAGGAGCCGTCTACGCGAGGGCCTGGCTCTGGTGGTTGTTTTGGTTTTATTTCAGCTGCTTCCAGGATTTTACATCACAGTCTGATAAAATATGAATCTGTTGAACCTTACAGATGTGCAGTGCCAGAGCAAAAGGCAGGGACCGTTACCATTCACAGATTTGAGTCTAGTACATGTTCAAGGAAGTTATTTCATGCTCGTGTCCTTGAGTGAGGACACAGCATCCGAGGGAAAAAAGGCTGTTTCCGTGCTGCAGCACTGGTCCACAGAGGATCCCTGGCATTGGTGTAGGGAGCAATAACGCGGGCCGGGAGCATCTGAGTGCTATTGTACAGCTCCTTCAGGGACACCTGCCGGCAGCACAGAGACTCCGTCCGACTGGGAAGCTTTTTGCTGATCACTTATCCCAGACAAGGAGAGAAGTGCCTCAGACAGCCATGGGGAAGAGTAAGGAGAACCAGTTCATGCAAGGTCCGCAGGACTTGCAAATTGCACCTTGTATTCTTAGATGCTTGGATGCAGGGAGACAGTAACTTTGCAGACCTCAGTAATAATACAGAAAGGAGGAGGGTTGGAATGATGGGAGTGATGGGAGAGGATGTTACCAGAAACAACCTCTGAGGATATTTTAAAGGCAGAGTAAAAACCCTGATGAATTCACTTTTGCTAAATCTTTAAGCCAACATTTTATGTCATTTTTTTCTCCTCAGTCAATAATGATACTTAGCGCTTACCTGATATATTATGAATCTTCACTACTTGTTCCTGTAGGAGTAGGTAAGTTTTTATAAACGGGGATGGGTGAGGCCTAAGAAATTACGGCTATCTGAGCTGACAAAGCCAATTTTTGCCAGACTGGAAATAAACCTCAGGGATTCTGTGTGTCCCAAGACCTTGCTCCTTCTGATGGATTATGCTGCCTCCGTACTTTAAATCAGCTTAGGTAAGTTGCAGTTTGAACTGGGGTATGAGAGATGGAATCTGATACAGTTAGAGCTGGTACCACACTCTCAGCTATCTGCCGACCTTACAAGACAGCTGCTGGTCTGTGCCAATGTTTAGTCTCACAGGATCGCGAGTAGGATTTTCACACATACTTCAGTGAGTAAGGAGCTCAAAGTCTCTTCATTTACACAGATTCAATCTCAGCTCGCTTGCTTTGGAAACCCCATCCACTGGCTTTATATGAAGTGGAATGGGAAAATCTGAATGCAGTTCAGCACCAGCAACCTCTGGAGGCAAACTGGGATCCAGAGAACAGAGGCCAGCACCTCGGAGGTTTTAGCCTCTCTTTGAATATGACTGTCATTTGTCTTGCATAGCAGTGGCTGTTTTACAGCGCTCTGTGATACAGCTCAGAAATTGCCCCTGCGGTCACTGATGCTGAGAGCTGGTTGTAAAGGAAAGCAATGCATTTGGCAGCTCTATAAAGAAAGAGTCACACATAAGATGATAGAAATCAAATTGGGTTAAAGGTAAATGTATTTTTAATATTAATCATTGGCTTTTAATTGGGAAAAGCTTTCTAATGAGTTTTTTTTCTAAAATGCCACAAGTGGTACAAAAAATTTATGTTGCAGAGCAGTTTACAACCCTGAACACAAAAAAAATCTCTGGGCCCGATTTAAGTAGCAAAAATACCTTAATTTCCAGTGAGCTTAATGGATATGTTAGTCATTGACTGTCTCCTGACTCCCCCGCAGTGTCTGTTTAGTTTGCAAACAAAGCTAGATTTATGCAGCTTTTTTCACTTACACTACTAAAGCTAACAATGCACCAAGTGTTAACAAAGCACCAACCAATGTAATTTTCTGCCTTAAAATACTGAACAAATGATACTTTCCCGTTAAGGGCTAGTAAAACAAAATTATATTTGCAAGGTAAGACGCTATTGTATGTTTGCAAATATTTTTGTATTGTGTACATTCTGTATATTTTTGTTGTAACAATATTATTTGAGCGCAGATTCCATTAAAAAAATTTTTTGTTGGTGGTTTTTTTTGGTTGTTCTCTTTTTTTTTTTTTTAGTAAAACTGAGCTGTTTTATGTCACATGCCAAAAAACAACCAAGAAAAAACTTTCAAAGACAGACTGGTTAGTATTTCTACAGTTAAAGTATTTAGCAGGAAAGCAATTGGTTTTGAACTCTGCAATATAAATTTTGAATTTTGAAACTAATAGCTCTTCTTATGTCTCTTTAAAAGTGTCTGACAGAGGGAGACATGAGCTGCTATTTATTCCTCCATGAGGTCTAACACAGGCGCAGAAGTATCTTGAGATTTGTATTAAAAATGCAGGTCTTGCCCCGCTACTCGATGTCCAGAACTGCAGTGCAGCAGTGACCTCAGAACTGAGGGGCGGTTGAAGACAAGTACCTTAGACTGTTTAAATGGTTTTGTTGGGTTGGAGGGTTATTATCTTTTAACATCAATGTCTGTTGAATGTTTTAAAATCTCAAAGAGCCAAAGCACTCTTGTCTCTTGAATTAACAGTGGGAAAAACATGTCCAGGAAGTTCTGCAGAAAACCTATGAAAGATTTAGTTATTCTGAAGTAAGTAAAATATCCTTCCACCAATACGCATCTGGAAACGTGCGTTTTGAAAATAGACTTTGTGTGGTGGTGCTGGGAACCACGGAGTTAAAATATAACTTGCAGAAATGGAAATATGACTGGCGGCAGTTCCTTCACATTTGTTACTTGTAAGGAAGAGGCAGATTACTACTGTATGCAGGACTCAACTCTTACTGTTAAGTGTTCTGCACTTCAGTGAGCTCAAAGCTCATTAGTCATTATTTTAGGAATTTCAGCAAGAAGGTAAAAAGGGAGGGTTTTTTTGTCAGTTAATGCAGGAACTGTGTTATCGTTTGTTAATACCATACCCTTGCCTTAATGGTCCAACTAATTTTAGAAAGGCAAAGTAAGCGACTGAAATACTACAAATTCTAGCATATTTGTAGCAGAAAAGGAGCCAAAAGCTAGCACCTTTGATAGCCAGCTTGGATCATACAAACTCATAAAACTTACTCCCATAGCGCCTAATTATCTGCTGTATAGCAAGCATTGCTCGTAAGTGTTGGAAAGAGAAATACTAATTGGCTTTTATGCTACTTCTGTTGTGATCTTTCAGACTGCGAGAGGTCTCTAGCATTTGAAGCTAAACTTGCATTCTTAACATAGGCCTGTGGTTTGCTTTTTTTCTCCAAAAGGTTTTAAATCAAACCTGTAACACTACAGTAAAAAATCTTGCAAGTTTGCAGATTAAGTGCTAATAGCACATCTCAGCATCTTCTGACCTTTTGTGTGCTTAGCTTTGAATCGCTGATTGCTGGAGAAGCAGTTGTGTGTGTAATGCCTTCTAGGCATTCATGCAGCTACACCAGCTTCTTTTACATTATTTATTATGCTTTTGTTTAATTGCCTTCAGTTTTGCTTTTTAAATAGAATTGATAAAGGGAATATGCCAGCAAAACATGCAACATTGGGAACTGCACTAGCAGGGTGTATTTCAATGTGTGTGTGTGCTTCCAAGCATCTTGAGCTTGTTATAGGTGACTGAATGACAAAGTCAATGCAAAGCTGGTAAAAGCCAGACAATCTTAAAACAGAGGCTGCAGAGAAGATGTTTTTCATAATCTCAGCCTTCTTCAGACCTGAGAAAACTCAGCAAAAGGAACTCAACAGAAAAAGCAAAAACTGCAGGTGCCCACATATAATGGAGTACAAATTCAATGGGACTGATGTTGAGGGATGATTACTTTGAAGAGGAGAAGCCCAAACAAGACAAATCAAAGTGTTTGTTAAAGTTTAAAAATATCTTGATTTTCAAGAGTGGTATGTGATCATTTACCTAGCTAAAAAACAAAAATCTCATTTAAATGACTGTGGCAGAGATCATAGGATCATAGTATAATTCCAGTTAGAAGGGACCTCAGAAGTTCTCTAGTCCAAGCTCCTGCTCAAAGCAGAGGCACCTATGCGGTCAGAGCAGGTTGCTCAGTGCGTCATCCAGTCTGTTCTTGAAAAACCTCTAAGGATGAAGACTGCACAAGAACAGTTCCGGTTGCATCTCAGGAACAGCTTATTACTATAACCACAGCACTGCTGTGCCTGGGACTGACCTACCCGTTTGTAAGTATTAAGGCCAGCACAGGTACACCTGGCCTCTGTGGAGGAATTAGGCTTCTGTGGCCTAATTCTCCACCTGTCTGGGGCAACAGGAACAGGATGGTACCTTCAGGATGACTTCTTATACTGTTCTACCAGATGACAATTACCTATTCCCACCACCCAACATTTATTTTTTTGGAGCATTAAGAACTTCTCTGCCATTTTACCAGGTAAAATACTCAAGGATCAGTGCTCCAACTTAGTTAAAAACGTACAAGAGCAACAGCAGGTGACATGTTTTATTGAGCGGCATTGCGTTACTGACTCATGAATATAAGAGCCTAAAGGAAAACATCGTTAGTCCTCAGAGCTCCTGCAGATAACAGAGTAAGTTTTTTTTTTTAAACTACTTTATTTTCTTCTCTGACTGCCCATACATTCTATATATCACTCTGCTGTCAATATGATGGTTGCAGAATCCTGCACATTACACTAGCAACTTCTTCAGAATGTATGAATAAAAAGTTTTTAAACAGGAGACATCAAGGACAAGACTTAATTGAAATTAAAACAGTCACAGGATTAAAGATTTAAATGCATTTTATTGTAAATCTTATTATAGCTTCAACACAGCTGTGTCACAGGAAAACATTCAGCTTTTATCTTCACAACTACAGCAGTGGCAGAATGAACGGTCAAACTTGCTGCATTAGTGAGACTGTTTGTTAGCGTTTCAGGCCTTGAATGAGAGGGTTGTTCAAATGCCAGGTTAGGCATTCGAACACCCTCTGGTGCAGAGGAAATCAGTAGGGTGTTTTGTTTACATCAGGTTTGCAGAAATAGTCCTCGTTTATATGGTCCCAAAAAGGCCCTGTAAGGTTTTGGTTCCATTTGTAGCCAAAGACGTTCTTCAAGTATTCTGCTGCCTAAATATCATTTGATTTAGAAAATGAATTTCCTATGATGTGGGTAAGAATTCATTGCTGAAAGGCAATGAAATGTTTTAAAATCTAAGTAATTAATTTTGGAACTTAGTTTAATTCAATTTATGAAAAAGTGTGTATTGATTTAAGGACTCAGGTTAATACTGCGTGTCCAAAGTCTTCAGGTTTCGTTCTTTGCTGCTGAAAAACACACTATTATTTACAGTTATGCAAAAACGTATGTAAAATACTACAATTCCCCAACTGTACAAAGAAAGTCTTGATCATAAAAAGGCAAACTAATGAAAAATTTGATTCATCATCTACCCTGGGAATTTAACAAGGCTGACTAGTGTATGTATATGTGCATACAAGCACATAAAAATTTATTCCTGAAACTCTTTAGTCTTAAGGCAATTCTGTTTCTTACCAATTAAGAAGTTGCTTGTCTAGGAACAGAAGAACAAACTTTGCTAATTTGAAAGTAGAATGCGGAAACTAGTTACAAATTTATTACCTATGTTCTCTTATATGAAAAAAAAATGATTGATTCATTTACTATGATTTATCCAAATGTTTCTGCTTCTTTATGTATGAAAATAATCAGATTTTAATGATTAGACAATGATAACCTTAAAGATACTTTAAATATCTAAAACACTGAAAAATGCTTGCTAAGTAAGCAATCTTTCTTTTTTTCATGCAATGACAATAAAAAACAAATGGCATGATCTCCCCAGAAAAGGGAGAAATCATTCTGGAGAATCTGGTAAGCACTGAAAACTACGCATGAGATTATATAACATCTGATATTTACACATTAAAACAAAGCTCATGCTGCTTTCTTTCAAAAGAGGAAAACTAGGCAGAACTACAATTTAGGTTTGACTTGGGTAATACTTTTAAATATAAATTAAAATTTCTGCTTAGTGAAACTAAGCTGCACAGAAGAAATTAGTGATTCATACAATACTCTTAAATAAGTGCAGAATAATTAAGATTGCTTTAAGCCACTGCTGTTTCTCTCATGAATTCCTCAAGGACAGCCACTACGTTTTTGGCTTCTGGCATTTCTGCATGTTCTACTTTAACAATCTTCAAAAGGATGTCTCCGCTGCCGCAGTTCTTTAGGAACATGTAACATTTGAACAAGGCATAGTGGTTCATTTCGGCCTGGCGGATAAACCTCTTCAGGTTGTTAATGTCTTGTATAGCCTGGAAAGAGAGTAACAGTATTTTCTTATCCTCCTACATGGAAAGGAAATATGCTACTATGCAGAAAAGTGAGGGAAGAATAGCAGGAGAAGCAAAAGCATTTGTAATACAGATTCTGTATTACTTACTCTGAGTAATACAAGAATTAAGTGAGTACTGTCCTTGATGGATTTTACCACTGTTATTTTGAAGATGCAAAAAGCATGGACACGTGTTCAGAGATGATCAAGTTGTGGTATCCAGCGTTCCCCTCATCTTTCTGGCAGATCAGCTAATAAAAATTAACTACTGAATCCATATTACCAAGTTACATGCTATTACAGTGGGTGTACAGCCCCGATTCTAAGAAAAAAAATTAAGGAAAAAAAAGTTGTTTTTCATTTTAAATATGCCAAAGTGCCTTTGGAGTACTCGCTGAAGAAACTTTCACATTGCTTTACATGCTGGTCCTCTCAACAGCACTACACCATCTACAAGTGAAAATAGCAGTCATCAAATTAAACTTCAGAGTTAGGCAGATAATGATGTATGGACACTATAACAATGACTTAAGATTTCTTCGTTGCAGCAAAATGAGAATTTGGTCCCTCATTAACCCTGATGTCTCCTCCAAGTCCTTAACACATACAAACATTTACCTTCAATTTAAAGTTTTCCAAAATTTGCCGGAAGAGAAATGGATTTCCACCTTCAGCACCATTTATAAAAGCATGCATCCAATCCTCACAGAATCTGTTGCTTTCTGTCACATGTTCAGGAACACAGAGAAAAGGTGAGCACAAAGTAAATAAGCTCAACATAAGTATATCACTGCATTCACCTGGTTTAAGTGCTCTTACACAATAAATGGTAATAGCATATCTGGTCCAGGAAATAAAAGTCTAAGAAAATCAGCGTTCAGGTGGAGAACAAAAGCCAACACAGCTACAGTGCTTACACAAAATTCTGAGTGTTGAATCGCTTTCCGTATCATTTGTCAAAAATCCAATAGACAAAAAGTACATTTCGCAACTTGCCTTGAAGTGTAAAATTATAGTTTTATGGTCCACAAATTAAATGCATTCTGGATTATCAACCTTTTTCAAACCAGAGCTCCAGTTCCTCTGGTAAACAGAATTACTCTGCAGCCTAAGAGGAAAGCACGTTCTAGTTTCCAGCCAGAATCCAAACTTTCTGGGCATGAACCTATGAGCTGCTGCATATCCTCAACTACCACTAAAGACCAGCACTCTCAGCATCTGAGAGATACAGGGCGGTAACATGAAGTATTCACAGCCACGAGCTCACCTGCATTATGGAACTGAGGCTGGGGTCCATTACAATCTATAATCATTGACTTGTGCTGCTCCTCAGTCATGGCTATACACAAGGAGGTCATTGTGCCTTCCTGAACAAGTCCTTGGAGGCTGGCAGCTGCCAGAAACCTGACGCAAAAAATTCTCATGAACTGCTTGTTTCTGCACAATACCTGAATAGCAAAACCAATAAGGTATCACACACACAACCAAAATACTCATGGGCCCGTTGGTCTCAAAGCAGCTTTACCTGCTAATGTCTTTCTCTGTTCTTTCATCTGAGTTTTTCACTTCCACAGGAGTGTAACTCAAAGCCTTTGAGGGAGGGGGAAAAAAAAAAGCTAGATGCTGATTTGATATTATTTCTTTTGCTATGTTGTAGTTACTAGTAATAAATACATAACATGATACTTTTAACATTTTTTCTTTTCAGAGTAAGAGCAGAAGCTAGGAGAATATGCCATATTATAGTCACTGCAACTATTTTTGCATTCAGGAGAAATACAGCGGTTATACTTTATTAGCTATTCCATAAAAAGTCTTCTCAAACTCAGAGACTAGTGCTAAGATTAATTTTCCTTTTCTTTTTCAAGTGAATTACATGAGACACAGCTAATAAAACATTCCTTTTGGCTCAGAAGGATTATACCAGAGACAGCTTTCTCATTCTATTTCTAATTATCTCATTCTAATTATAATTGTAAGTAGGACACTACTAAGCAATCTAGAATGAATTAACCATAAAAATTACTTTTCAAATATTAGTTTATTCCTGCCTGATGGATGAAATTTCTAGGTATTGCCTTAGCAACAGAGGAGGGAGAAAGTACTTGTCCTGAATTTAAAAAAAGGGAGTTGTTCCTCCTTTTTCCTGGCTGGGAAGCAAATATAAAAAATATTTTAAATACAATACTAGAGTCACTGAGGTGCCTTCCAAACCTTGTTATTCAATTTGACATACACTTACAGCATGTAACAAGAAGGCAAGTTTCTCCTGGAAGAGCTGTACTACTCTCTGAATAGGGCATACAGAATTCTCAAACCAGCTTCGCAAGTAGGGGTTAACATAGGTCTCCAAGGTTTTTTGCTGTAATGAGTGGAAACATTGTAACTTTAACTGGGAATCAGATTTCTACACACACACACACACACACACACACACACAAAAGAAACATACTAATAATCTATTCAACCTGTGACATTTGAATGTCAAATCCTTCTTCACTTCAAGCCATGCTAGGCTAAAATCATGAGTTTGACATTTAATCCCACACTGAGGTGTGGGTGAAGGGCTTCACGTTTCAGAATTATAACATATTATGATATACATTGAGCAAAGAGCACGCACCAGCAGGCAGGGGATGAGGTAGGGACATAAACTGCATAGTTCATTAGAAAAGCTGCTGCAAGAAAAACAACAAAAAACCCTCCTTAATGTTCAGAAGCATTAAGAACCTACGCGGACATTGCTAACGTTCCATTAGACCATCAAATTTTATTAATCGTTCTTCTCTCTGGATGTAACTACAAGTAACCGGTAAGAGATTTATGAGTGGTACAAAAGTGTCCCTCTTTTTCCTTTGACTTGTGTGGTTAATAGCACTTCAGGCATTCACTGTATCGACAGCAAAGCAGGTAACCATCTCTCACAGTGGTTCATACTGGTTCCTTATACACTAATTCTGTTTCTATACCCTAAATCTCCCAGATTGCTTTAGTAATAAATTTGTGTAAAATGTCATTTTCATCACTTTAAAAAAAAAAAAAGTAAAAACCAGGCCTTACCTCTGAATTAAGGTTTATCTTCAGACTTTGAACATATTTGTCCAGTTCAAGTCTGAAAGTACCTCCTTAAGGAAAATAAGATGAATCAGGTAAGACCTACATTTTGCCCCTTCAATGTATAGTTGTTATTAATGCATTCAGTTATACACTGGAAGGTTTGCACAAACAGGCTAGTAGACTGATTTCAAGCAGGAAGCAGACAAAATGAGAACATTACTTCTACATCGGCTCCCTCTCCACACAGTTAGGACAGTTAAAGGTAAGGATATAGTTCTAGACCTTTCTCTGAGCCACCTAAGAAACAAATCACGTATTCTGGAGCAGTGATGTCTGATTCCAACGTTGCCATTTCTAGAAGATTTTCTTGTTGGAAAAGACAGTAGTAACAACCAACTTTATATTCTGGTATGCTAGGCAGAAAAAATAAAGACCAATGTTGTTATAAATACATCACAATAAGCAAGTGCAAAAAGTAGATGTACGTGATTTCTGTAAGGAATTTTCACCCCCTAGCACAGGCTGCTCCTATGATCATAAACAGAGCTGTCCTAGACCTCCTCGTAGTTTAAGCGGGAACAGTAATAAATACACATCATATTTTTTATTCAAACAGTATTCAAACAGTGAATTATTTTTTCACAATATTTTTCTCAAAACCACCTAGGAAAAAAAAAAGAGGAAAGCGCCACTTGCACAGAGCTGTTGTTAACAACAGCGATAGACTGAAAGCGTAGAATCAGGATTAAACCTAACTGCAGCAGCAGATGGCAAGATGTGCGATGCTGCCAGCATTCCTTATACTTTCTAAAATGATTTGTGAATGAGAAGCTATGTTTTACCTCAACTCCACAGAGGCTACGTTCCCCATCCCTTCAAAAAGGGCTCCTTTAGTAAGACGCTTAGCAATAAAACCACGCAATTCAGTCTCCGCTTCAGGTGGTAAGTTCGTGTCCAGCAAGGAGAGGCTTTTGAAAAAAAAAAAAAAAAAAAAGATGAAAGCTAGTGAAAAGCAAATGTTATTGTTCTGTTTTTCCTCAACAAGCGCAGAACCACTCGCTCGCGGTCATCATGTGCTTCTAGGAGAGGGGCCACTGTGATCTCTTTCCAGCTTGCGACTGAGTCGCTCCGGGGCCCATCTGAAACACGTTCAGGGGTTTGCCCACTGCACCCGAAGGCTGGAGATGCCCCCCACTCCTTAGCAGCTATGAACAAGTCACTGCCCCTCTTTGTTCCTCTGATTCCCTACTTGTAATCCAGGGCCACAACTATACGGCAGAGCTTGTGGAAGAATTAACTGCCCATTTAAAACCGATTAATGAATCAGGCCTAAATAAAGGCCTGAAATAACACAGAAATGTGAAGTATTACTAGTAGGAAAAAACAGTGCAAACTTGAAGGTGATCGTTTATGCTTAATACGTTATTTGAGCTCTCTAGTTACGTCCAGAAAAAGTATCTACAGGACTTCAGTACGCTTTCACAGAGGTTTCTGCCGTGACATGACTTTGATTACTATTCACTTAACAGCAACACGTATGCCACGGGCTGCAAGTTAGCAACAAAAAGGGATATTACAGGTGATTACACGGTTCATGTTTTACCTGAAGTCCTCGCTGGAGTCCTCTGCGGCCGGACTTCCATCCCTGCTGTCAGCTCCCCGCTGCGAGGACCTTAAAACCAAGCCAGTCTCATGACGGATCTTACAGACCAGAGGAGGGCAGGGGGGCTGCGGCGGGGAGGGCGCGGCCTGAGGGCGTTTTGGGGCAGGATCATGAAATCGAGGCACTGGAGGGG